ATATGTAGGTAAGTATACCAGAAGCGGTAAAAGCGAGTTAAAATACTTAAAAGGCACTTCCCTTTAAAGTGTAGCCGTTTCTGAGTGTAAGATTTTTCTCCTTAAACCCCCTTCTGTTCTCACAATGAAATCAAGAATTAGTTACTGTTTTCGTATTCAATCTCTTGACCATTGTATGACCAGTTACCTCCAAAGGAGAGGTTTGGGCATTAAGAATGACTATGTCTCTTCCCAAAACTTGCTTCGTGTAGTCGCAAACTCTTCCTATGCGTTTCATCCTGCTCTAGCAAGGAAAGGCAGCGGAATATTTATCCTTTGAATAAGATATCTTCACAACATCAAGGCAAAACGTTTGCATAGCATATTTTCCCCATTGGAAATTGAAGATAAAGTGAGCGTAGAAACATACACTTGCTTCCGAAACGATTCTACGCCTACCATTTGACTGTAATAAGAATAATTAATAAACAGTTGGTGATGATTGATGCATGATAATGGAAAACTCACACACTGGGGCACGCGGTCCAGTAAAAACTGGTACTAATTTGGGTCCCCATACCCACGTTGGCTGTCTCACAGGCTTCAACCATACATGTGGTTGTTGTTTATAAACCGTAGCCCATGCTGATGTTTGTACATTAATTGGCGGTTGCACGAAAGTGAATGTCATTGCTGGTCCCGGTGCTAGCCATGGCATCGGGCAATGTGGTCCTATGCATGCTTCCACTCCAATGAGACATATCAGCATTAGTGCAATCTTGATTTCACCACACATTTTGCAATGTGTTGTTCCTTAAAACAAAGTGAAGAGCTTTTTGTACCATATGCTCATTGACGGATGAAATGAATCTGCTGGAGTGAGCAAATGGCATGATCTTTTTTGAAAATAAAAAGAGTACCGTAAAGATAATCATCATCACCACACTTACCAGAACAGCTTCTAGCACGGAATACATAAGAATATTGATTATCCATAAAAACGTTCATTCACAAAACATGTACGGTAGAGTTGAATACACTAGATTGAGCTGATGGGAAATGCTCTCCGTAAAATTTCCGCAAATCGCGCAGAATAATGGTAAACTGCTCTCAACTGTGTTGAACTTTCCACAAATCAGATCATCGCTCTATTTTCGCTCAGTTGAAAACCAAATTTTTGAACACATCGTTATCGTTTTGGATAACTTTAGGCGGTCCTCAAACTTTTCGAAGTTTTCACAAAAAATTTGATAACGTAAGGACAAAGAGGTTTCAGTTGATTGTTCCCATTACATTCGAGACTATTTTTGAGCCTTTCAAAACAATTTTTCAAAAGTTCGGTTTTAAAAAAAAGAACAAATTGCATCCTTAATGATTTCTTGGAGCCTGAATTCGACAGTCGTTTCAATAAACGTTTTTGCAAAACAAGCTGCTTTTGCTATTTTAATACCAAAATTTAGACCTTTGACACAATCTGCAGCTATAGAATTTGAATGACAGACGCTTTGAGTTCAAAACTTTTACGATTACTCCACCAATTATAAGAGAATTTGGTTCAAAGATTGCTGTGGAAAAGAAAAAGAAACTACGTCGGGAACTGTATGAAGCATTTGTCTCTCAATGCTCTAACTGTTT